ATCCTGACTTTAACTATGACTTTAGAAACGAGCCCAACGTAGGGCGGGTTTATGAAAGAGGAGGGTACGTGTACAATCGTCCGTACGGCTGGAACCGACTGGCTTTGAAGACTAAGGGAAAGTATCCACCTGATGACGCCTGGCTGGGTATACTGGCCAATCGTACAGAGAGTTCAAACGAGGAGTGGCCAGTCTCTTATCATGGGACAAAGAAAGAAGGAGCAATGGCTATAGCAGCTGAAGGATATGATGAGGATAAATTAGACCGGGAGAACTTTGGAAGAGGGTTTTACTCAACACCGAGTGTTGAAGTTGCTGCTAGTTTTGCTCCACGATTTGACCATACTGATGGTAAGAGGTATGAGGCTATCATTCAGAACAGAGTTAATCTCAACCCTGGACACTCTAAGATAATTCCAGTAGAGAAGACACGACATGGAGCAGAGTATTATCTGACATATTCTCCTGATGACCTGAGACCATACGGGATATGTATCAGGGAAGTCGTTCAAGTTAGCAGTGCTTAAGAATAAACAGCATAATAATAGTAACTCTTTAAAGCATTGATTTAATAGCTGATTGTTATAGTATTATTATTAGGTTGTTTTAATTGAAATTGTACTACATAAAACTGTTGTTACTTGTTACAAACAATTACTACATATGTCACTACTCCTACATGAATAGTGTATATTAGTAACCTGACACTAATTGTCAGTCATTAGTGACTGTAGTACTCCACAAACACATGTACATGTATGTAGTCATAATTCACTACTGCTATAGACCTCACAAATTGAACATAAACAACTGACATTAGTCATTAACCAGAGATACAACTAACCAATGAGTGCTATAAATCTATTACTTACAATGCTACACGTGTGAGGCTATTGCAATTATTATAATATTTCAAAACATAAAAAGCACATTCCAATAAATGTACACTCTACAGAGTTAATCATTAGTCCATGGACACACACTGTACCAAAGGAGAGGACAAGACATGAAGCAGAGTAATAATGTAAGATGGCAGTATCTTATTGATTCTAATCAAAGAAGGGAGAAAGACTGAAAAATTAAGTATTGAAAACATGTACTAGTAGGTGTGATCAAATTATTTAAAAAGGTGTGGTATTAATAACACCACCACATGGTCCTCTCTTGTAGAGTTTACAGCTGCTACTGATTCTCAGACTCTGTAGACTGTAATCTCTTGGGCAAACATAATGTCAGCATCTAATGGCCAGTTACTAGCAGCTGCCTTCAACTCAATACTAGGCAGTGGGTATAGGATAGTCTCTAAAGATGACACCACTGGAATGAAAGAAGTACAAGAAGTTGGTCTAGCAGGTCACGTCTTTGACTTGAAGTACAGCGACCTCCAGGATACCATCATAAGAGAGAGCAACCCTCACATTATAAGACCAGGGAACAGGGACACCAGTATCATGGTATACTACCTGTCAGGGAAGAGGAAAGAGCTAATGGTTGATTTGAATGGAACAGCTCAAGATATGAAGTTTGATATCATGAAGGAGCAACTCTATGGTATTAATGACCCAGACCAGTTTAGAGTCATATTTCAAGGAAGACAACCAGACCCTAATGACAAGCTGAAGGACTGTGGCATTAAAGAAGGATCAACCATACAGGCTGTACAGTGTTTAAGAGGAGGTGGCTGTCCATTCCACTTGTTAAATGAAGAGCTGTTGGAACCAGAGTTTGATTACGACTTCACTCTCATTAGAGATGAAGGGAAGGTCTTTAAAAGAGGAGGGTACCTGTACAAGAGGCCATGTGGATGGAACAGAATAGCACTGAAGGTTAAAGGGAAGTATCAGAATGATGACTGGCTGGGTACACCTGGTAACCGTACAGCTAGTACTATTGGAGAGTGGCCAGTCTCTTATCATGGGTCTAAGAAGATATCATCAATAAGGATTGTAGAGGAAGGGTATGATGGAGACAAGTTGGAGAGGGAGCTGTTTGGTAGGGGCCATTACTCTACTCCTGACATTGAAGTGGCTGCTAGGTATGCTACAGAATTTGAAGTGGAAGGAAAGAGATACCTGGCAGTGATACAGAACAGAGTCAATCTAAAGAAGAGCAGTGTAATACCAAAGGAACTGACTGGAGCTGGGGCTGACTATTATGTGACACCATCAAGTGATGATATCTATCCTTATGGTGTCTGTATCAAGCAAGTATAATCACTGGATATACTGTAACCAGTATACTGACTCAATAAACCATTAATGAACTGTATTATAGTGCAACTATTATAACCAATTAGCATGTACTGTTGATAAATACCATGTTGACAGTTGATGTATTGACTTCAACTTTGACTTGGTCCTTTTCGTGTTACTGATTGAGTGAGGGGCGGGACTGGAAGGCTTCTGTTATGTTGGCTCCATTTCAAAACTAACTTACACTAAAGTACAGTACAGCACTGATCATTCATGTACCCAGTCTACCCACTCCATACATTGAGAATAGTGTAAACTATCATGTAATCATGTGGTACTATATACAGTATCTATTGATGAATTACATTTATAATTACAGGTATAGTAGATATTTTAGTCAATTGCTATCTTTGTGTGATAAAGGATTAGTGAAGAATGACAAACATTGCCATTCCAAAAATTAGTGACAATTAAGAAATCATACCATTATCTATCATCATGTTACAAGCAGTATATGGTAATACAGTATGTACTAACACACATATGTACCTGAACACAGTTGATATTACTAATGTCAGTATATTGTATTATATAGAGATACAGCAGTAAACCTTACTTAGGAATGATAAGGAGTGGTAACACTGTGGTGGCTCCAATTACTGAACATACATACAGTATTGTAACTGGAGCTGAGGGGAGTCTACACATCAAAGGCCCTTCACTGGTTTCTGTATATTACATACTTCGTGGCTTCTATGATGATATAAAAGTGGTAGACAGTAAGAGCTGAATTCATTGCAAGAGACAAACAACTAAAATCAGTTTATAATGGGATCAGTAGTCCTATTGACAAGAACTATACTAGTAAGATACAATATATATGATAGTGTATGGTACTATCTTTACAGGTTATACTGAGTACATGTTATACAAATGGACTAGAACTAGCTGATTTGTACCCATATGGTACAGAACATGGGGACGCCACGAGGATTGGATCTGGTCTACCTATAGCACCATTACTGGCTCCAATTAATAACTTAGTTGGATTTGGTCCGGCTAACCTTAGAGCAACAAGATATGAGGTTAGCACACGCACACACACACACACATTATTAGTGCTTTAGTTTGTAACCATTATCTGTTCATTTTATTACTAACACAATTTATTGATCATTTCACATTTACTAATGCTATTTATAATTCTATAGCTTGCTTACACAGGGTACCTGGAATTTAAAAACGATGGCATTGATCTAATCTATGTCAATTTGCTCTTTGGTTCAGGTCCCCTTGATCAATCCAGAACTAAGATACATGGTAGGAATACTGCTGATCCAGACTTACTAAAGAAAGCTATGGATCAGATTAATGAAGCCTTTTCTAATGTTTTCTGCAGTACATCTCCTCCTACTCAACTAATAATAGTAACTTGGATAGACTTTGCAAAAGCTGGCTCAAACCTAGTTAGTATATTAATTACTTAATACATGAAATACTGTTAATAATAGCTAGCTACACTCTAATCACTTTATTTATTATTTTTAGGGCAGTAACTTCCAATTAATTGTTGTAACTAATGGAAACATTACATTTGGTATTGCACTTTATGTCAATGTTGATGCGAGCATTACATCAGCTACTACTGGAATAGAGTCAGAAATTACCGTATTTCCTCGTGGAAACGCCTACTCCCTATAAACGCCCATGCCTGTATAAACGCCTAGAAACAGCATATAACTTTGACAATAAACGCCCATGCTTGTTTAGACGCCTATTCTTGATTAAAAGCCTATACCACACCCACCTATTCCATCCACGTGGTACATGTACCTTACGTAGTTTACATTCTACAATGGAAGCTGCAGCTGAGAAGGCTAAGGAAACTCAGAAGTTCGATGTCAGTTTTAAACTACGCGTTGTGTCTATTGAAACATGCTGGTAAGGATTATTTTTTGGTTATAAACGCCCACCTCGTATAAACGCCTACTTCATTTAAACGCCTAGCAAACAGGTCTCTATAAGAAATAAACGCCTAGGCGTTTCCACGAGGAAATACGGTAATAATAATTTTGCAGTAGTTGATCATTCTCTATTTCCATTTGGTACCACTGTTACCAAAGCTCCCACTATGATGCTTAATAGCAACATACCAGGGACATATATATTTTCATTGAATCATATACCACCAGGTATGACTATAGTACATGTATCAACTGTTCCATATAACTTGTATATCTTTTAGACACTCGTAATTCTTTCAGCATTTCTTGTAAGCCCAGACTTGTTCAGTTGGCGTGTGAGGCTATGAGAATTAATGGAGAGGATGTACCAGCTTCTTGTAACAACTGATGACATACTCCATTTTATTGTGTTTTTGTGATTAAATAATTTTTCAGTAGTGAATTGCTCAATTTTAATAATAGAGACTAGAGATATAGTTGTTATCATTTACTAATCTTTTTGTCATGGATTATTTTTTATCATTATTGTTTTAGGAATAAAGTCAAAATAACTGCAAACAAAAAGCAGTACACGAAGTATAACACTTTCACGTTTTCTGACAGCATAACAATTAACATGTACTGATAATGAATACCTAAGTATAACTGGAAATTTTGCAGTATCATGCCAAATTCGCCCAACTTAACTCCCTCCAAAATTTCTTGCTATATAATAATAATCATAATGGTACTACAGTATCTATTGATGAATTACAATTATAATTTACAGATCTAGTAGATATTTTAGTCAATTGCTATCTTTGCGTGATAAAGGATTGGTGAAGAATGACAAACATTGAGAATACCAGTAATTAGTGACAATTAAGAAATCATACCATTATCTATCATCATGTTACAAGCAGTATATGGTAATACAGTATGTACTAACACACATATGTACCTGAACACAGTTGATATTACTAATGTCAGTATATTGTATTATATAGAGATACAGCAGTAAACCTTACTTAGGAATGATAAGGA